TCACTTTCTTTCGTTTCCTTACGGTTTGCCTTTTTTGTTGTTTTTTTTCTTTTTTTTTTTTCTCTCTCCAAGTTCAATTGATTTCTTACTTTTAAGGTCGAAGAATCTGTTTCTCTTCTTTGAGTTTGGTTGAAATGTGAATCGGGGTTTGAAGTGATGGGTTCCTATCTAGGATGTTCTTTGCCCCAACTCGTTCCTCTTCCCAAGATTTTTTTTTTGCCTCTCCTTGAAGGAATCTGGAAGGGGCTTTAAAAAAAGTGCAATTTGGGAGTTTTTCTCAGCACAAACTGGTTGGTTGGTCCTCAGATTTCTCTCACTAGCAGCGTCCTGGGAACGTATTTTAAGGATGAATTCTGGTGTTGCAAAAGTCAACCCTGGATCTCCCAGTGTTTCTTCCGACCAGGTCTGTAAATCTGTCCCTTGCAAAAAAAAAAAAAACACCTCTCACCTTGTGGACCTCAGCTGTCTTTTTAAACTGAGTGGTGGTTGGTGGGGAACCTTAGTGATGCTGATTGGGACCCAAAAAAATGCCACTCACAGAACACAAACTGGGTTTAACCTCAGCCTCCATGAGCAGCAACAAAACCAATTGGGCTTTCCAGGGGTGTGAAAAGTTATGGATCTGTTGTGTTTCTAATGAAAGTTGAGCCAAGCACAACTTGGGGTGCAGATTTGCAGCGTGAAATGCTTCTCTAACAGAGAATTAAACAGACACATAACTAACTGCACTGATGAAATCTTGGCCTCAGAAATGGCTTCTTTGCCTCGAAATAGCTTCACTTGCATCCCAAACATCCTCAAATCTGGTTCTAGCCATAACAAGCTGTATCCTTGTTTGAAAAAAAGCTCCTGAGAGTTTTTTGCCCGTGGAAAATGTCTGTCTGTGTGTGCCTGCTCGTGTGTGTCTGTTGCACGGCGTGTACGCATGCGAGGTTGGCTTCGTGAAACAGGTCTGACAGAGCTGGCCTGGACTCCAAACATCCCTGAAACTCAGGGAAGGTGCTGCCTGTTCCACAAACTGGGAAAAGTATTAGAGAAGGGTCTATAAAGCAGAGCCCTGACTGCCCCATCCCAACGTTTCCTTTCCAGAGAGGGCAGTTTTCCGCTCGGATCTTTGAATGTGTTGGTTAGTGAAATGGAAGGAATCTCTTCCCTTCATTTGTTTCATGTCAAATTGCCCTCGTTCAGCTGCTGTGTGTGACACCCAGCTGGACCCAGTGCTGAAATTGGTCATGTTTCCATCTCTAGCTTCACTTTCAGCTTCCTTCCCACCACTGTTCTCCTCCTCCTGGGCCTCGACCTAAATGCTGACCCAGAGATTCTCAGCCTGACAAATTCCATGTCACCAGCCCAACCCGAGTGGTGTAGCAATTAAAATAAACAGCAGTGATGGCTCTGGGTGGCCAGAGATGAACCCTCTAACTCTTGTGGTTGTCCCAGCCCTGAGCCATCCCAGGGATGTATCCAGGGACTCTCGGAGGTCTCCAGCAGATCATTGGAGTTGTTTTCCCATCCCAGACCGGTGTGTGGATGTTGGTATATTTGTGCACACACAGGAATGCGTAGCTTTTTTTAAACCAGGATGCACCACGACTGAAGTGCTGCTGCCTGTTTTGGGCTCCCAGCAGCCTGCCCTAAACCCCAATCCAAATTCTCCCTTCTTGTGGGATGTGTGATGCCATGGCCTGGCAGCCAGAGGTGTTGGCTGCTTCCCATCCAAGCGTGGCATCAAACCAGCCCCGAAGCAACGCTGTCTGTGCCCTCACAGGGCTGAGCTGCACCCCTGGGTGCCCTGGGGAGGAGGAGAGGGATGCTCTGCAGATTTTTAGGAGCATGTTCTGAGCTTGTGTTTTGTGAGTGGATCTCTCTTCCCTGCCCAAAACCACAGCCAGCAGCAGTCTGTTCCCTTCAGACTCCGATTCTCAGCACTCCACCCTACATCCAATGATGCTTTTCAGTTATTAAACTCTGGTTCGTTCTTCCTTTTTGGTTTTTTTTTTTTCATTTCTTTTCCTTGTTTTCGTTTCGTTGGTTGTTTCGGTGGGTTTTTTTTTTCCTTTCTCTTTTTTTTTTCTTTTTATTTCTTTGCGATTAGCTTCGGTTTGAATTAATTGTCTTGTTCTGTTCCCATGACAACTCAGTGTTTGCATCCCACCTGCCGTTGTTGTTTGTTGCTGTTGATGCTGTTTGCTGACCGGATCTTGTCCGGATATGTCTCCCCATTCCTCCTCACCTTTCCCACCTTACCTCCCCTTTCCAGAAGGTTACATCCCAGCCCCTCCTCCAAAGAGTCATCCCCACCCCAGATCTGTCTGCATGTTGACCCCACTTGTTTCTTTCCAAGTTCTCTCCATCTTGTCTCAGACTGTGACAGGTGTGGTCTTCACCTGGCTCCATTTTCTGAAGTGTGGCACCTCTGGAAGCAGTGGGAAGAAGGATGGAGTAGGAAAACAGGGATGTATCCTCATGGCTAGGGCTGAAAGTCCTCTATAGTGACAGAAGGGAGGAAGGAGCATGTTGCCTGATCCTTTGAGCCAGTGCTGGTGCCTGAGGAGGTACAACCAACCATCTTCCCTCCCTACACCTTTCTCCAGGTAGAAAGTGATCTTCTGGTGTTAGTGGCCATGTGAGTTTGCAGTCTCTCCCTCCACATTCCAGTGCTTTCCCCAGCTGAGGGCATGCCACACATTTTCCCTGCAAATCCATGCATGCAGGAATTCTCCCTTGCCATCTCTGAGCTCCTAATGCCACAGATCTGGAAGTCTTCCTTGCCTCCCAGCACTGGTTCCTGGCTACTGGTACCTGCAGAAAAGATTCTGACAGCTCCTTGGGGAGAGCAGACCTTGCTGTGAAGACATCCCTTGTCACCTTGCGGGACAATGCAGGGACTGTAGTTGGATTTTGTTTCCCAAAGTCCAGCTAAGTGGCAAACAGCAGTTGTCTCTCCTGGCAGTGCCTTCCCATTGGAAAAGATCCATAAAGCTGAGCAGCAGCCAGGGAAGTAAATGGGCTGGAAAACTAGAAAACCCCAAGACACCAATTCCAGGGGACATCTGAAGGCACTGGGGCTTGGGAGGAGCAATGGCAGGTTCAGCTCTGTGTCCTTTGCTTTGCTTTGCATGAGGCCACTGAGTTTTAGAGAGGTTTTTCAGAGGTTACCTGGGAACAGGCAGCAGGGACAAGTAGTTTGCAGGCCCCCAGCACTCCAAACTCTCCTGCCCCCTTGCCCACCCTGCCTGAGGGAGTTCCTGCATGGCTTCCTTGAAGCTGGAGGAATCCTGCACTCCTGGTCCCCTCCGGCTGCTGCTGGTCCTGCATCTCCCCAAGGTCTGTATCCTTTGGTCTTTGCTTGTGGGATGGAACCCTCCCCTCAGCCCCTTCCCCAGGGCCTCTCTGATCCACACACCTTCTCCTTTGTCCATTCTGCTGCTTTCCCTGCTGAGGAAGAGCATCCAACACAACCTCCCAGCCAGCCCAGGTAGTTCAGAAAATGGAGCCAAGGAAACCACAGCCTCCCCTTTGCGTCCATGTTCTTCCTGTGTAAGGTCTGGAAGCTGCATCCACCTCTCTGCTAAGGAGATGCACAGAACATGTCACTGTTTTCTCAACGTTAAAAGTTTCATTACCTTGTTTTTCTTATTAATTCTATTCTATTTATTATTCCGCCAGGGCTGAGATGTGACAATGTGAGCCACCACATTGGGTCACATCAGCTAGAAAAAGTATGCAGCATTAAAGTGGGTTTCCCCCTCCCCTCCCTCTCTCTCTCTTTCTCTCTCTCTTCTTTCTCCCTTCCCCTCTTGTTCTCCTTCTCCTGGTCTTCCTTCCTTTCTCTGTCGCTCACTTTCTATCCTGTATCCATGTGGGCATTTGCTAGCCGCCCAGAAATTATATTTCTCTGCATTTTCCTCTCTCTTTCTCTCTCTTTCTCTCTCTCTTTTTTACCTATTTTGCATGATGTTTGTGACTCTGAGAGCTGCATCTATCGATGGAACCGTGTCAGATCTTAAAGAGGCTTCGTTAGGGTTTCTATACCCGAAAACCACAAAAATTTCATTAGAGTTTCTCATCTTTTCCACACTCTCTCTCGCTCCAGGGGGACTGTGTTCCCCTGGACGCTTCTCACACGCAGACACCAACCAAATTCTGTCCTGCCCCAGGGATTCCCTCTCCTCCCTTACTTAGCATTTTGCCTTTTACTTCTCAAGTGGCGTGTCTGGAATTTGGGGATGTGATACTTCTCTCTTTGTTGAATTCTTTGGGTCCAACAAGGCAAGATGTGATGAGAAGTTTTCCATCTCCATCCCAACCTTCTCCTCACTCCCACCCCACCTCTGCAGGTGGGAGAGGGTCCCTCTCTGGAGACAGAGTGGGGCACCTGGACCATGCTGTGGTGGTGGATGGAGTGTTTCCTTTGGGAGAAGGTGAACTGGGAGTCAGATCCCACTGGGAAGGGGAGGAGCAGGTTCCCAGGGCACGGAGTGGGGAGCTGGGGGCCCCAGTGGCTGTGGAGGAGATGTTTGGGCTCTCGCCATTCCAGCTCTTGCCAGTAAAGATGAGAAATTGCTAATAAATTTTTGTGTATTTATCTGTGCTGTGATGGGTCTAATCTTGATCAATGGAACCCTGTTGCTATGAAATATCGCTTTTATGTCTATATTCTATATCTTGTTTGTGAAGTAAACATTTCTTTAAAGTTTGATTTCTTTGGTTTTCGGGTTTTTTTGAGTTGTTCATTTCTTCGTTTGTTTTCTTTTGTTTCCCCTTAGTTTTGTTTTTGAATGAAGGAAGAAAATAAACGATGACAAACCCCATCTATATTTAAATTATCTTTTGCTCTTTTTTCTTTTTTCTCCCTTCTTTTTTCTTTCCTTTTTTTTTTTTTCCCCCCTCCTTTGCTTTTTCCTTTTTTTTTTTTCCTTTTTTTTTTTTTTTTTTGGACGTTTTATTTTGCTTTTCTCCTTTTGTTTTTTTGTTACCTCTGTACGTCTCGTCCACAGTTCGCCGTGTGGCCCCTCGCTTCTCCATCTTACCTGTCAGCCATGAAATCATGCCCGGGGGCAACGTCAACATCACCTGCGTGGCCGTGGGTTCGCCCATGCCATACGTCAAGTGGATGCAGGGAGCAGAGGACCTCACCCCTGAGGATGATATGCCTGTGGGCAGGAATGTCCTGGAGCTCACAGATGTCAAGGATTCTGCCAACTACACGTGTGTGGCCATGTCCAGTCTGGGAGTCATAGAAGCTGTTGCCCAGATCACGGTGAAATGTAAGGGAGTGTGAGCACGACGGCGGGAGCGAGCGCAGGGTGCTGCTTGCACGTGTTTGGGAGTGGGCACAGGTGGTGGGTGCATGGTTGTGGCAGAGCACACCTGGGCACGTGTCGTGTTCAAGCACGGGAGCACTTGGGGGATGTGTTGTGCCTGTTAACCTGCACCAGAGCATCACTGGGGATGTCTCCGTGGCACTGGTGCTACTGGTTTGTGCCCATGTCTGCATGGGGAGAGCCTGGGACTGTCTGTCCTGCATGGGAGGAGTGTGGGGACACAGTTCTGCATGTACAGGGTGCTCCTGCATGAGTGGATGTGTGCATGGACAGGGACGCAGTTGGGTATGTTCAGGGTGGTCATACAGGAATGGATGTGTGCATGGAGAGGGACACAGTTGGGCATGGAGAGGGATACAGTTGTGCATGTTCAAGGTGCTGCTCCTGCACGAGTGGATGTGTGCATGGAAAGGGACACAGTTCTGCATGTTCAAGGTGCTCCTACAGGAATGGATGTGTGCATGGAGAGGGACACAGTTGTGCATGGAAAGGGACACAGTTCTGCACGTTCAAGGTGCTGCTCTTGCACGAGTGGATGTGTGCATGGAAAGGGACACAGTTCTGCACATTCAAGGTTCTCCTGCATGAGTGGATGTGTGCATCTGGCTCTATGGGCATGGGGGTAAATCCATGTTGTTACCAGCCTGTGTATCTGTGAAGGTCTGTGAGCATGAGGAGGGAGACACACGTGTGCACCGTGAGTGCCACGAGTTGGGATCTGTGCATGCACCTTCAGGCATCCCACACAGCAGGAAAGCCAGAGTGAAGGGGAAGCTGGTGGCTTGAGACCTTCCCTCGCTTTAGGACACCTGAGCTGTTTGTTATGAAGAAAAGTGGGACTCAAATCCCTGCATGTTTGTGTCTGCCCTGGCGTATGAGGTTGGCTGGGCACTTTGCAAGGAGCCTTGGATGGCTTGGAGCCTGCATGCCATCCTGTTCCAAGGTTAGAGATTCAGCCAAGGCCCTGAGGATCTCTGGCATGTGAACCCTTGCAGTAGAGCTTAGTTCCAGCATCTTAGTGGCCGTTGTTGCCTCAGCAAGAGGGGGAATAACCCCAGCCTCCAGCTAGCAATTCCCAAGAGGAGCACGGGTGCCATCTTCCATCTATTCTGTCCTCAGCAGGGGAGTATTAAACCCAAGTGGGAAGCTCCTGAGGTTGGGTGAGTGTAGAGCTCTGTGTGAGCTGCTGTCTGCTCCGAGTGCTGGCGTGGCCCACGAGGGATCTGGGAGAGAAGGGTGGGAAAGGATGTGGTGGGTGGGGGAGAGGAGGAGAAACGCTTTGGAGAAGGGGAGGGATAAAGAAAAGCAATCCTGTTGTATCAGTGATCTGAATGAGGAAGGTTTGACAGGAGGAATGAGTAGAGACTAGTGATTCTTGACATAACACTCATCCAGAGCTTCTGCACAGGGACTGGGCTCTCGTGCCAGCAGAAGGATGCCTGGGGCTAGACTCAGGTCCTCTTTATTTTCCTGAGTATTTCCTCCCTTCTCCTTTTTTCTCTGTCTTATCCTCTCAATTTTAAAAGCTGCTGTGTAGGGTAGATTGCTTCTGCCTCCAACTCTCCCATCTCCTCAGAGGGGGAATCTCGTCCTGCTGGTACCCTCTGCCTTTTGTCATTTTATTTGTATCCTGTTCCCCTTACATTCCTGCACGTGAGCATCTGCAGCTCTCCCAGGCAGAACATGACAGGAGAAGTTAGAGCTTCATCAGTGATCAGGTCTAGAGAAGACAAGCTTAAAAGCCAAGTTGGATGGGGCTCAGAGCAACCTGGGCTAGTAGAAAGTGTCCCTGCCCATGGCAAGGGGTGGAATGGGATGAGCTTTAAGGTCCTAATCCAAACCGGTCTGGGATTCTATGATAAGATGAGATTGGAAAGGATCTAAAGTGTGTAGTGAGGAAAACATGTAGAGCTTGAGAACAGGGAAAGTTTGAGAACAGGAAATACTTGAGAACAGGAGAAGCTTGAGAACAGGAAGAGCTTGAGAACAGGAGAAGCTTGAGAATGAGTAACACTTGGCTGTTGAAGGTGTCAGGCATTCAGCAGTCCCCAGAAAGCTCCAAGGGTAGTTGTCTGGCTGAGGGACAGAGGACAGAAGTATTAACACATGTTTGTGGCTCAGGAGGAAGCACTCCCTGTGTTTGTGGGGTGGTTCTGGAGGGCACAGCCAACCCATGGATGAGGGGCAGGCTGAGCAGTGCCAGCACCAGGCTGCAGGGTCAGAACATCTGAGTTTGTGCTGGGCAGGAGCTCCTGAGAAGCTGCTTTCCTCCCCTGCCATGTGAGCCGGCGGATGTGCAGCTGAAGTCTGTGCTAATGATTCCAGATGTTTAGCTGAACACTTTCCCTTTGATGGAGCAGTTTAAGGAGGATAATAGAGTGTATAACTAGGTTCATAATATTCCAGCAGCACTTTTCTCAGCTGCCTTGATTGGTGCTGTGCCTCTGGCTCCTGCAGCCCTAACCAGCCCAATTAGGCACCATTTCAGCATGTGTGGTTGGTTTTTTTTTTTAAATGCCTCTTCTTCCTGATTCTCAGCGCTCCCCAAGGCTCCTGGGACTCCAGTGGTGACAGAGACAACAGCAACAAGTATCACCATCACCTGGGACTCTGGAAATCCAGACCCTGTGTCCTACTATGTCATTGAATACAAGTCTAAAAGCCAAGATGGACCATATCAGATCAAAGAGGACATCACTACCACACGCTACAGCATTGGGGGGCTCAGCCCCAACTCCGAGTACGAGATCTGGGTCTCTGCAGTCAACAGCATTGGGCAGGGTCCTCCCAGTGAGTCAGTGGTCACTCGCACTGGGGAACAAGCTCCTGCCAGTGCCCCCCGTAACGTGCAGGGCAGGATGCTGAGCAGCACCACCATGATCATCCAGTGGGAGGAACCGGTGGAGCCCAACGGGCAGATCCGTGGGTATCGCGTCTACTACACCATGGAGCCTGACCAGCCTGTCAGCAACTGGCAGAAGCACAACGTGGATGATAGTCTGCTGACCACGGTGGGCAGCCTGCTGGAGGATGAGACCTACACAGTGAGGGTCCTGGCCTTCACCTCCGTGGGAGATGGGCCTCTTTCCGACCCCATCCAGGTGAAGACGCAGCAAGGAGGTGAGAATCTGTGTCATTTAACCTGAGGTGCACTGGGCAGCAGGAGGAGCAGGTGTTGGTTAGATTTAGGGATTTAGATTAGATGTTAGGAAGAAATTTCTCCCTAGGAGGTGGCTAAGGCACTGGGATGGGTTTCCCAGAGCAGCTGTGGTTGCTCCATCCCTGTCAGTGTTTCAGGCCAGGTTGGATGGGGCTTGGAGCAACCTGGTCTGGTGGGAGGTGTCCCTGCCCATGGTAGGGGGTGGAACGAGATGAGCTTTAAGTTTGCTCCCGACCCAAATTATTCCATGTTTCTCTGACTCTAAATGTCTTTAATAGACCTAAAGCCACTCACTGCCCAGGCAGTGGTGGCACTTAACTCTTCCTGAAGAGAACTACCTTCCCAGATATGGAGTGAGGAATGAGCCTTACATTGCCTTTTCCTACGAGGGGAGCAGGACAAAGCCCTGACTGTCACAGCAGATGTGCTGGGCTGAAAGGTGTTTTGTCATGGGCTATCACCCAACATGCTTTTGGGTGCTCTTTTTATGGCATGAGGTGCAGGTGAGGACCCTGTGTCCTCAATGATCTGCTCTTGGGCTTCTTACTGCCAGAGTCTTCCCATACTGGGGGTTATGGGAAGGGCTGTATTCTGCACTGAGAGGAAAGAGGTGTATGAACCAGTGTGACTCTTCCATCTCCAGCAACTCTGGACATGTTGGAATCCTGAAGTGGGATTTAACCCTCCACTGCTTTGGAGGCAGGACCTGCCCACGCTGCAGCTTGGCATTTTGCTGCTGACGTGCTCTTCCCACACAGGCTTTGAAGAAAACAGGGCAGGAGTCTTCTAATCAGCCAAGTTAACGTGGTTTCTTCTGTTTCTCATCTTGCCTCCTCTGCCCCATCATCTCCTTCTCCGTGCCAGTTCCTGGGCAGCCAATGAACTTCAGAGCAGAAGCCAAGACCGAGACAAGCATCGTGCTGTCGTGGAGCCCTCCACGCCAGGAGATCATAGTGAAGTACGAGCTCCTCTACAAGGAAGGAGACCACAGCAAGGAGGTGAGTGTGGAGAGGAGCAAGATTGGGGCTGAGGAACATCCTGGCCCCCCATTCCCTGAGGTGGCACAGAGAGGGGAGCAGGGCAGGTATCTCTGGGCAGGGTTTGCCTCTGCTGCTTTTTGTTTGGTTTTATTTTTCTTCTTCCCCACCTCGCCCATCTCAGGTGCTGAAGAACTTCGAGCCAACAACCTCGTTCACTGTGGAAGGCCTGAAACCCAACACTGAGTATGTCTTCCGACTGGCTGCCCGCTCGGCTCTGGGCCTGGGGGCCTTCACCCCGGAGGTCCGAGAGCGTCTCTCCTTTTCCCACCCTTCTCTGAGGGGACGACAGTCAGGGAGCCAGAGATGGTGGGCACAGGGGTACGGAGCCGGGGGGGAGGACGGTGCGGCGACGTTTCCCACCAGGGAGGTGGGTGGTGGTGGGGAACACTTCTGGGATCTGCTCCTTTCTCCCTGTGCTGATCCAGGTAGCTGAGATGTGAGTGAGGAGTGGTGCTGGGGCTTTGGAGGGTGGTGGTGGAGGACTAAGTAGCACTCTCCACTTGGGGTGGGAGCAGTGAGATGCTCGTTGATGGTGCTGAGCATGCTCAGGGAGGATGGCACCTACCACCCTACCGACCAAGCAGCAGCTGTTGGGAAGGGGGGCACAGGCAATGGAGCAGGGAGACAGTGGGGAATGGGAGGAAGAGGCCAAGGGAAGGTGATCATTCACAAGTCCAAGCAGTCCTTGTGCTCTTTTCCATGAGTGGCTCTGTAGCCATGGGGAGGAAACCCTGCTGGGCCAGCGAGCGCTGGGAATGGTCCCATTTGGGCTCCAGCAGAGCGGGAGAGAGAAGTCATGTGGAGGCTTGGGAGGGAGGATATTGATGATAGCAGGATGGAGTGTATGCAACCAAAACGTGCTGGTTTTAGTTTAATGGATTGTCTCCCTTCGCTGTTGCCCTGGGGACAATAACCCTGGATGGCAATATTTCAACCTGGGCTTTTCACAGATCTTTGCTTTTAAATGAGGTGTTTTTTCACTGCATGAGTGGCTGTGGCAGCTGTTCTTTGTGTTTTCTGTCTCCTCTCATCTCTACTAAATCACTCCGCTGCAGTTTGGAGTAGCCGGGAGCAGAACTAACTCAGAAATGGCTCTGGTCACCAGGGTGAGGAGGGAGAGTGCCTGCTCCCATCCCTCAGAGTCCCTAACAAGAGGGAGCAGCAGGCTCTCAGCTGGGCTTTTTAATTGTCACATCCTGCTGCCTCTCTCTTCCCCCTGTCTCCTTCTCTTTCTCTCCCCTGAGGAGTGGGAGGAAAGAGGAGTCTGTTTCTGCACAGACAGAATTCCTTACTGAGGCTTTCTCAGGCCTCCAGTCCATTCAAAGACTTTTGTTTTCTTCTTTCTTTCAAATGTTTTTCCCCTTTTTTTTCCTTCTTTTCTCTTTCTCCATACTCTCTCTACGTTTCATAGGAAAATCCTTTCCTGACTCTGCTGCACATCTGCTGGTTCTGATCCCAGTGTGGTACTGTCAGAGGGAGCATCACTGTGGGGTGGGGGAGATGAACTGAAAGGACCTGAAAAATGAGGGTTCAACTTACACTCTGCTTCTGTTTTCCAAGGGGTTTCTCTCCTTGAGATCCGTGGGGATGGGAGGAAAAGAGGGTCTGGGATTTGTGCTTTCTGGTTCAATAAAAAAGGCTGGAAGAGGGGGGTGGGAGCTGATGGCATTAGGGTTTAGTGGCTCTGAAAATTTGTCCCTAAAGGGTGAGGAGAAGGGGATCTGGGAAAGGGGAAGGCTTTGGGGCTTTTCTCTAACTTGGCACCTGCCCAGAACAGGACCTGGTTTCTCTCTCTGTAGCTCAGCTTTCCTAGGGAGAGTTTCATTAATTTAACACTCTTAAGAACATCAGCTGGGAGCTGTCAGTGTCCTGTAACACGGTGAAACATTTTTTCCTGGCTGGCTGTTGGAGGAACGAGTCAATTCTCCCTGGTCCAGGCGACATCCTTCGGCTCACAGACCTTCTGGCTCGGGACAGGCTTTTGTGTCTTCCCTCCGCAGCTCCTTTTCCGTTCAGCTCCTCCTTGGCCTGCTCCATGCTTCTTCTTTCTGTTCTCTTCTGCTCTCTGCTTGCCTGCCTGCATGTTCTGCAGCCTGATGAACCAGCTAGCTCCCTGCTCTCTCTGTCTGCCCCTTGCTGGGTGATGGCCCACCACGATGGCATCTTGTCTCTGGAATGACCTCCCTGGTCCTCCTGCCGCAGCCTCTCGCTGCTCTCCCCTCCCCGCACGCCCCTGCATGCTGCACCCCTCCCTGCACATCACCCTCCACCTCCCTGGCAGGGTGGCTCCTCCTGAGCATCATAACCAAAGTAAAAATCCATTAAACTAAAGGTAAAGTATCTTTTTCTTCTTGAAGTAGCTGGGTTTTAACTCTTCAAGTACCAGAGACGTAGATTGTAAAACTTAACAGGTTCTCCTGGCTGGAAGAAGTTGGGTTTGCCCTTTCTGACTAGCCATGACCTTCCCAGGGCTCCCTGGCAACTCTCCTACTCAGAAATTTCAGAGTGCAAAGCATGGGCAGCAGACAGGGGTGGCAGGGTGGGTGCTGTGAGGCTGCATGTGCAGGTGTAGAGGAACAGTGGGACTTTCTCACCCTCTGTGAGATGTTTCCCCCTCCCCAACCATTAGCTCTGCTCTCCTTCCCATCCCCCTTCCTCACAGTAACATGAAGTGAATGAAACTTAATGCAAAGTCTATGGTACCTAAAGGGTTAAAAAACATGATAATTGTACAAGGTCAGTAAGGGTCATTCTTGTGGCTTGGACAGTCAACTTTAAAGCATGTAAAAGATGCAGCTCAGGTGAGTACTGGCTGGTCTCAAGCAGATTCACAAATACAGTCCACCCTGTCCCTGCAGGCTCTCCCACACGTGCGTGGCTCTGCACACACTCCTGGATGTCCTGGAGCCCGTGGGAGGGTGGGGAGGGATCCCAAAATTCTGTCTGCCTGGTGAAAACAAGCCAGCAGACAAAACTCTCCTGGCTGGAAGCTCCTGCCCCCAGCAAAGGGGCTGGTGGCAGAGCTGAGAGAGTTTGGGCTGGGGCACTTGGCCTCCTGCAGCAGCTCCCTGGTTCTCACTGCTGTCCCCACGCACACAGGTCTCCAGGGTCATGCAGGTTGGGCTGGATTGTGAAGGAAACACAGTGCCATGAGCTCCCCAGACGCGTCTGCAGCGTGGCCAGCCCCGGGTGGCTCTTCCCATCCGGTGCTGCAGTCAATGAGAGTCGTGGGGAGAGGCTCCAGGTGGGACCTGGGTCTTCTCCCCTATCCCCCATCCCCTCCCACCCTGCCTTTTTGACCAGAGAAAGTCCAAACCATGCCCAAAGGAGGTCTCACCCCAGGGCCTCTCAGTAGGTCCCTGCTGGAGCGTAGAGGGTGAGTGAGCGAGCGTGACACGCGCAGCAGTGCAGACAGTGTCCCCAGTGCCAGCTGGAGCTGAGCTCTGCTTACTGGGGCTTTCAGAATGAGGTGCAGGATGGAAGGGTAGGTCAGGTCAGACCCTCTCTGCAGTGGGTTTCTCAGCTGTGGTGGCTTTGGCTGGACTAAGCAGGAAAAGTGGCTTTTAATACAACCAGCCCCTGATGGGGAGGTTATTAAAAAAAAAAAAAAAAAAAAGAAGTGCTTCTCAGAAGAGAACAAAGTTATGAAAAGGGAGAAGGCTGAGTCTTTCCCTCTGTTCTCTGAAAGGGATCTGAGTTGGTTCTGGGATGTGGGAGGAGCACCTCTGTTCTGGAGATGGTGCTGCATCAATCCCAGCAGATGGAGAGAGCTATAGGGGAAGGGAATCTGGTGGTAGGAATGTGCCTCCCTGCTCTCCTCGCTGACAGCTCAGCAAAAGAGAACAGATTGGGGTCCAAAACTGCCATTTCTGCAATAGCTGAGGTTCTGCTGGCAGTGGGGAGGATTTAGAGGGGTTAGGCATGGGCAGGGTGGTGTTTTAAAAGCCAGTCATGTGCAGAAACCCACCAGGAGCTTGGTCTGGCCTTGTAGCTCAGTTCCTCTTATTCTCTTGTAAGAAAGTCTTATAAGTTAGCAGTTGAAGCGTGGAAGGTAGGTAAACAGACTGGGAATGTTCTGGAAGGAGTCACTTTTTATATCAGTATTATTTTATTATTATGATTTCCTTTCTGATGGTTTTTTTTTGTTTGTTTCAAATTACTGGCTTGATTTACGTTTTGGTTTTCCAGTTTGTTCCTTTTGGTTCTGTTCATTTGACATATTCTGTGTTGTTTTGCGTGGCTAGCCATGGCCAGGCCTTGTCCTCCTTATCTGAGGAGAAGGAGTTTATCCTGCCAGGTTAAAGACAGCAATAAAGCATAAAAGCAGGTGGAAAACACCCAAAATGTCCTTCTGGGCAAGGTGCTCAGACTGTATTTGCCCTTTCTGAAAATCCACTTCCCTCTGTTTCTTGGAGGCATGTGGAAAGTGTGTGGCTCTCACTCCAGTGCAAAGTGTGACTGAATTTAGCAGAGTCCTCAAGCCACACTGGGCCTAAACATTTGTTTGTGGCTCAGGAGTGGGAGTAAGAGGTTTTAAAATAATCATTCCTCGGTCAAAGAGCTTTTTGTTGTTGATTAAAAAGCATCAGAGGAATGAGGAATGGTGGCCAGCATTGATCTGCTGCTTCTTCCAGGTGATACCTGAGGGATTTGTAAGGATGCTCCAGTTTCTAGCAGTGTCTGCAGAGAGTTAAAGGCTCTTTACTGCAGTTGGGTGAGATTGGATGTGCAGATCTGCCTTGCAGATGTCTCTCTTTGCTTCCCTGGGCTGATTGATTGTCATCAGTGATTGACACAAGCGTAATCTAATCCCTGGAAGTGTTCAGAGCCAGGCTGGACAGGGCTTGGAGCAACCTGGGCTAGTGGAAGGTGTCCCTGCCCATGGCAGGGGGATAGATCTGGATGGGCTTTTGGGGTCCTTTCCAACCCCAAAGTGAGTCTATGAATTCCTCCAAGCACCCAGGTCAGAGTTGGGGTACAGAAGTGACAGACTAGACTTTTCCAAGGTATGTCAGACCTGTGGCATCTCCACTGACAGCTCTCCTGTACCTCAGGCATGGCTGTGGCACAGCAGTGTGTGCCCTGGCACGTAGTGTCTGACAGGGCTGGTGGCAGCATCCTGTGTCCTGCCGAGCAGACACGTTCAAATGACCTGTGACAGCTCAGCCAGTGTTGGAGTGAGCAGCTCTGCATGGAGAGCTGTGCCTTACACCTTTCCCACCTCCTGTCACCCTCAGATAGGTGTCTGCTGCCACCCTGAGAAGTTGGCTGTGTAGGGCTGTGCTTCCCAAGGT